GGCCGCGGAGCCCTCGGGCCGGGAGCGCTGGGGCCGCGGCAGAGCGGCGGTCCTGACAGGGTTATCCGGGAAGCCCTTCCCGCCCCGTCCCGCGTGGGGCTGCCGCGGCGACTGCCTCGGCTTCGGGGACCGGAGCCTGCGGGGACGAAGCCTGCCGCCTGGACGCGGGGACCTGCCTTGGGGACTCGGCCGCGGGATCTGCGGGTGCTTGGCTGCGGGAGAAGTGGAGAGTTTTGCCGGGTCATGTCTGCCCGGGCGCTGTTAGTGTGCCCTGAAGCGTGCTTCGTGGAAGCTCTCTCCCCGGGTGCCTGGCCTCGGGGGTGCAGCGTGAGAACGGAACCCCGAGGAATGCTGCAGGCCGCCGGGCGTGCGTCTCCCCACTTTAAGCTTGTTTGCAGAACACACAACTTGCTTTAAAGCTGATTGGACTGTGGCAGGCAGACATCTGCTCAGAGGAGGGGCGGAGACCGCAGAGCGTCTGGAGGGGGCTTGGGAGTGTGCAAGTATTTGTAAGTGCTCCCTGGACAGCGAGGTGCTGTCCGCGCTCAGGCAAGTTACTTTCGGAAGTACAGTATTTGTCTGGAAAATGGTTTGATGCAGTCAGGAAGGGATCCTTGCCGTGTGCCATCCGCAGTAAAGGTGCACTGTAATCTGTCAGGTCGAAGTTAGCGGTCGCACGTTCTTTTTGCAGATAGGTTACTTTATTTCACATATCGGCCCACCCAGTTTGGTTTAAATTTCTCAGGAACGTGTAACCATCAGCCTTGATACTTCCACTTTCAGGCTCAGACTTTGAATGTAAGGAAACTAAAGACTGCTTTATCTGCGTTTCTTAACTTTTCTCTTAAGTATTTAAAATAACAAAAGTAAATAAACTCACTGCATGTTAACAGAAGTGACATGTTGGTCGAAGAGTGACATTGTTTTGCATTTCTACAAGACTTTAAATGACTGGTTGAATGGAAGACAGATTCTTAAATCTACTTCTGCATTCAATCTGTTGTGGTATCACACCATAAAACCTCTGGAACAATCCACTATATACTTCTTTTTTTTTTTTAAACTGAGAAATGTGTCATTTGTAGCTTGTGCTCACCATACAAGTCAAGTCAGGATATTATACCAGAAATTTTTTTTTTTTTTACCAGTCACTTTAAAAGTATGGATAAGATGGCTTATTTCTACACTTTTTTCTTAGACTCTAACTTTTTTCAGTTTGGGAATTAGATGCATAAACAGCATTACGAATAAAGATTGCATAACCCTTGTGATTCTGTACACAAATGAAATGTGAGTTCCATATTGGATGTGCTTGTGAAAACTTGTATGTAAATGTAATTTTTGAAGGGAGGACACTTCTCAAAGCACTTTAGGAACTCTAGATTTAAAAGGAACCCTGTAGTGAAACCTTTGGTAAACAATACTTTTGTAATGCATATATTTACCTTTCAAGTAAACTCAGAGTTCTGTAACTTAGAGTTTGAGTTCTCTATCTCTGATTCAGTCTGGGTTTTCTATGTTGAGGGGCAATTATAATGTAGATGTGAAAATTTAAGGCCATACGTTGACTTAATGGTTCTGAAATGAAGCTAAATTCATTTCCAGTTGTTTCTGTGAACTCTAGTCAGATTCTGTCTGTAGTTCTACACTGTTCCATCAACAGGAAGCATCTGGTCATTCTGTAATTGTTAGAAAATGCCAGGTATATTTTTGATGTTTGCTATTCAAATGAAAATAAATATCAGATTGGATCTTGGCTTGCCCCTGACCCCCTTATCTCTGAGATGTATTTATAATGGGCCACATCTTTCATAGAATGGACTTTTTTTTTTTTTTTTTTTCGCTCTTGAGTACCTCAAGAGTTAGAAATGGTAACAGGTAGAACAAACAAGTCATGAGGAATTCCGATTATTACATGCATTTTTGAATCATGACTTCATTTTGAGCATGCATTTTTGGCTGTGCGGTGTCTGTCCCTTTGCAAGTAGCCTGAGCATGCAGGAACTCACTGATGGATTCCATCGCTGCTTTCTCTGCAAACAAGCCAAACAAACCTTAGAGTTCAGGGCAACTTAGTCTTCTAATGAGTATCATTTCTTTGGTTCCACAGCTTTCCAACTAGTAATCATGTTTCTATAACACTAAAGTCTCTACAGTTATAATTAGTATTATACTTAAATTTTCTGAAGATGCTTGTTTCATCATGTTCTCTAGAAGGCAAATCTATTAAATCTTGGTAGTACTAGGGCTTGTGTTTCCTCACACTGTTGACAACAGTGTTCTGCACGGAGAAGATACGTTGGTGTAATCAGCTGTCAGTTCAGTCTTTGGTGGGCTGCTACACCTTTATTTGGTCTAAGTATGTCCATGACGTAAGTGTAGAGGCTTAGCATGAAGTTATTTTTTTCTACTGAACATAATAAATCCATATACAAGGCTATTGATACATTTAGAAATAGAAATCTAAATCTCTTAGCCCTAGTTTTCTTAAAATTTTATTTTATTTTAATTGATTTCAGAGAGGAAGGGAGAGGGAGAAAGAGATAGAAACATCAACCATGAGAGAGAATCATTGAGGCTGCCTCCTGCATGGCCCCTGCCAGGGATCGCAAGCTTGAAACCCAGGCATGTGCCCTGACTAGGAATTGAATCGGGGACCTCTTGGTGCGTGGGCCAATGTTCAACCACTGAGCCACACGGGCTGGGCTAATTTTATTTTTTGAAGTATATGACATCCTGAAGTTGGTAGAACATCATAGATAAAGAGCATGATGTTAGTCCTACTTTACTTTGTGCTGGTTGTATTAAAGATGGGACATTATGTCAGCATAAGTGGGACCTTGTATCAGTTTTCAGACTTTATATCATAATAACCCGGCAGGCTAATTAAAAACACACAAAAACCTGCCCTGGCCAGTTTGCTCAGTGATTGGAGCATCGGCCTGAGGACTGGGGTTCGATTCTGGTCAAGGGCACATGCCTGGGTTGCGGGCTTGATCCCCAGTGGGGAGTGTGCTGGAGGCAGCCGATCAATGATTCTCTCCCATTATTGATGTTTCTATCTCTCCCTCTTCCTTCCTTTCTGAAATCAATAAAAGTATATTAAAACAAATGAACAACACATGCACATGCACACCACCCCTCGCAGAGGCCCAAGCTTTAGTAGCATAGGATGTGGGCCAGTAGGTGGTAGACACAAGTTTTTTTCAAGTTCCCTAGGTGTTAGACACAAAAACCAGAGGACCTTGATCATGGGGGAAATGAAAAGGAGGAAAGGCTCAACAAGCTTATCTGAGAAATGATAGTTGTCTATAAATATTTGGAGGCCTGTCACACAGACCAGGTTTGATCTGACGAGAAAGAACTAGGTTCAATCTGTAGAAGTTAGAAGGAGGCAGATTTCATTATTCTTCCAAGATACATTGTTTTGGGTGGTTGGTTGTCTGCTGTCACCGACAGTGTTCAAATTAGGGACTTTAGAGGAATTGTGCAGAGTGAACATTTGGGCTCGGTGTCCTTAAGTTTCCTACAAATTTTGAGATTTTATGGAATATAAGTTTGCAGCTACAAAAGTGGAAGAGCAAAAGCTAGTCGAGTCAACCAAGCTGGTTAGCTTAACTGGATCATAGTTTTTATTTTCTTGGATTAAAAAGAACTGAGTGTTAAGTGAGAGAGCTATTTGAGGAGGTCTTTAAACCCAGCTTTAATTTGGCAGACTCAAAAGCCTTCTGATATGGAAATTCCCATTTAAGGGAATTTATCTTGATCTAATAAAGATACTATTAAATTGGTAGCTTATTGAACATACCAATTGCAGCATTGTTGATAATAA